GTTAACACTTGAATTTTTCCCCAAAAAAGGAAAACATAATCAGGCACAAATCCTCAGGCAGCATAAAATTACATGATAACATGCAGAAGAATTACTAGCTTCATTCATATGCTTGGGAATAGAGTCAAAATCAGTGATCCTATTTCCATATTTACCTCTAAGTGGTCTCAGTTTACTAAACATAACCCAAAACTCGCTGCTGTTGCTACATCGAGCCGGAAACGACTCAGCAGCAAGGAGCTTAGGTCTAGAGTGCAGTTTAAGACATTTTCATGTGTATCCTTGCTTGAAAAATCACTTTATCAAGCATTTTTTTTTTTGCCTGGGGCTGCTAAAAATATTACAGGAGAAATATATAGCAACATAAAGGCTTTAGCTCTTATTATCTGCAAATGGTTTACTTAACCTGTTTTCAATCTGATGCAACAGACATTTACTGAGGCTACTGAGCATCAGTGAGAAGAATACTCAGCATAGGAAATAGGTTATTCTTACGTAAAAATCCTACTTCCTCCAACAAAATTAGGTTAGCTGCACAAATGTTCAGCTGACCAAGCAGAACATGTCTAACCTGTCTACTATGAAATAAAATGATGCCTAAAAGTCAATTTGGTCTTTAAACAATAGATGGAGGTTTTGTAGCATTAGTTGTGGGACTAGTAAGCCTGAATTTGAATTCTAGTTCCAACACTGTTTCCTCATCTGTAAAAAGTCGGATAAACAGAGAGACCCAAGATACTCTTCTCTCTCAAGGTTGTAACAATTAGAGCAGACGTATACAAAATGCCTCCCACTGCATCTACAATATAGTAGGTATTGCTAATAGTAGCTACTGTTCGTCCCCATGTCGGAATTTGATTGTTATATGAGCTGACATCCTCATGGTCCCATAAATGATGTATGATGTATAAGGAAATGTGGCATAGTGGAAACAATACTCCCTTTGAAATCAGAAACCCTGGATTCAACTGCCACCTCAGCCATTCATGGGATACATAACCTGGCAAGTCAAATGAATGCTCTGTTTCTTTATCTAATGCTCTATTTCTTTATCTTTTTCTAAAACAAAGTTAGAAATATCTTAAGACTGGGAGGATCCTGGAGGTGTTGTATGTTAAATTATCTATAAACTATAACATTTCACAATGCTAAGATTATTATGCTATTACAGAGTTCAGTTAAAACTTTTTCTTCCTTCAGCAATAATTTTCTTTTGAAGTGTGGTGTGGTTTACAATGGAGGAAGCAAGGTCAACTTTGCTAATCACTGCCCATCTAGTGATATGAATACATATGCTGTAAAGTGCCTTGTGGACCACCAGGTATTCTGGACATGGTTACCAGAGATTTCCAGGTGAGGTTCTTGACTTCCCAATTCAACTGGCTAAGGCCTGAAGCCTTGGTCCAGTTTCAACCCAACTGAATGGTCCCTAGGCCTACATGGTAAGGAAGGAAGAAGAAACAGAGCTTTTTATCCGCAATATCAATATAAAAGGCTGGGAGCTGCAGTCTGAGAAGACCTAATGGGTTTGCTAGAAAAGAAGAGTACAGAGAGGGCAGATGTGGAGCAGGGGCGATGGGAGAGTGAATCCCAACAGCCACAGAAGTCCTAGGAGCAGCAAGCTCCTCTCAACTTTACTTTCTTTTTCACCTACGACAGGGTTTCTTAATCTCAGCACTACTGACATTTTCGCCTGAAAAACTCTTTATTGTGCAAGGTTTAGCAGCATCCTTGACCTCTCCCAACCAGATGCCAGTAGCAAACCCCCTACCCCAGCTGTGACAACCAAAACTGTCCCCAGACATGACCAAATGTCCTCTGGGGGGAAATCGTCCCCAGTTGAGAGCCACAGCTTTATGGTAATACCAATAACTGAGTGGCCCTTGAAGAGTCACAACTATGAACAGTGAAAACATGCTACACATAGAAATGTCCAAAGATGAAAGTACATCACTCTGTGCTAAAAGGTTATTTAAACTCTCTAAAGCCAGCCACTTAAAAAAATGCTGCTTTCTTAATCATGACCACAGAAATGGGAGACAAAAATTCTTGTCTACTCAGTAATCCTTAGAATCAACCAACACATGGGCCACTGCAGCCTGCCCACTCTAGACCACTCTCTACCTTCACTGTCCCCTGAACACTTCAGAGGTGAGACTTCACAAGTCACACACTCTTAAAAATAAGGGGGACAGATACTTATCAACAAATTGATTAGAAAACAGAGATCTTAGCAAATCATAGAATTTGCTGCTATTTAATTTGGCTGAAAAGCAAGGGGAGGGACTTCAGATATTGCAAAGGAGCCCTATGGTACTCACTTGAGTAAATCAGGGTATAACTCCTCTTAGGAACATGCATTTTCTGTTTTAATCAATAGAGATCTCTTTGGAGAAGCTGAAAACTCAGTTTAAATATTTTCCTCAGTGTGGGGCTTGCCAATGCAAATATTTAACTGATAATGAGCCAAAATTAACCCCTGAAGCAATGTAGTGAAGTAATCAAAGGAAAAAAATAGAGAGGGAAGAGAATTAGCTAAAGGACTTGAGCTTTGGTCATCCCCACTACTAGGAGCAAGTGGACATTACACTGCTTTGAGAAAAAGAAACTGAGGCTGATTCCAGACTCATCCCATCATTATAAAAACATCATTATTCCTCATAAAACAGTAGAGAAAGGAAATGGCTTGATGTAGAACCTCTTATAAAACAATCCTCTGATATTATGCAGGCGGATCAAGCCTACTGAATTACCAACATAAAGCTTGAAAAGTTGTCCCTGGTTAAGAAAGCTAAAAATAAAAATAAAACCGAATAACTCAGAAATGCCCGGGAATCCAATTTCTTAAACAGTGTAAGCTTCCTTGTGGCTTGAGGATAAATGAAAGATTTACAACTCACATTTGTAAAGCCCACTGCCCATCAACAAAAAGCAAGGGGTAAGATAATGAGGGGGTGAGACTTAACACTGTCAAGTTCTCTACACCCACCCAAGCTGGCTCAGAGATATTTGATTCAGTGATATCTGTTTAAAAAATAAGTCTATAAAATAAACTTGTATTTTCTGTTGAGAGCTATACTTCAACACCCTAATACTAGGAAATGTGTTTTAGTCATGTTTCTCTTCTCTCTCTCTCTTTTTAACCACAAAGCTAGTCACATCTTTCAAAAAGCAGGCTATGAATACCCAAAAAGTCAAAAAGTCCTAAGCCATGGTTTCTATGAAAATGAGCACTGTCTCTGAAATTTTTTCTGAATGATGAGAGACATTAAATTGAGGTAAGCCAAACAGTTGGCCAAAGTAAGGCAAAATCACTGACAAAACATCGGAAACAATTCCTCAAAATGTGTCTGTGAGCTCTGATCCAAGAAGAAACTATTCCCATTTTAAAACTTCGTTTTCATGAGTCTCATCTGGCTTCTAGTGGGACTCAGGAAAACTGAAAATATAATATTTAAAGCAGATAAAATAGAAAAATTAACTCTCATCTTCGAGGGTAAACTAAGGTTTTTACACACACATAGAAGATTAGGATTGGGATGGAAAAGAGACATAAGAAATTTCTGAAGTCCTGAAAAGCCTGTAAACAAATGTGTGTCAGGCATTGTCTAGAACTTCTTAAAAGAAATGAGATGCAAGGCATGGGAAAAAACATTCAAGCAACATATAACAGAACACCACCCTCCATAACGCAGAGCACACAACTAAAAGAGCCTAAATATACGTGAAGAATTCATAGGAAGTGCTGATTTCCAACCTGTGGTGGCTGTGTGGTGGTGAAGCGATATTCTCCTTGTTTGTCTCGACTGACCACAACCTTCCCAAGGACCATGTCAAGGAAGACGTTCTGAGAGATATTCCAGTGAATTAAGAATTAAAAAGGCTAAGTCATTCTTTATTAATGTGCACATTTAAAAAGGCTCACACAATACTGCATCACAGGTGAAAAACATGATTTTAGTTTTCACACACAGAATCTCAATTAATACTGCAAAAGGATAATGAGTAACAGCAGGACTTTGTAACAAATATAAATCATCATAAAAATTCTGAAGTGGGACTTCTAAATTTTCCACAAAATATGGCTTTTGTAAGAATCCTCAGGTCTTTCCCATATTAAAACAATGTTTGTAATATGAAGTCTTTTTCTTAACACTAAGTTATTTTCATTGAGTTAGTATCTAATATCTATAAAATGAGTATGATTTCATCAGAGCTCAATATGAGTAATTATTTTCACAGTAAGAATGACTTAAGGGATCGTGAAAGAAGTCCCTAAAAATTCCAGTTTAAAAAAAATTTTATCTTAGTAAACGACATTTGAATGAAAAATAAACGTAGAGTGTAGAAAAAGGCAAACATTCCGAATGTGACATGCTGGGTGTGCTAATGTCCAAAAATCATTGCACTGGGCAATTTAAGAAGAGTGGTACCATAACATCCATGCTGCACAGTCATTTTTTAAAATGGTAACTGGCATTAAGCCTAATTTCTAAGTAAAAAACTACTGTCATTGAAGTATACATATTTCCCCACAAATTACCTTAATTTTAATTCAAAAGCCTGTGCCATGGAACCCCCTAACTTTAAAGTCACAACTGTATCTCCTTCTTCCATTTCATTGATGTAGAAATGAATTATAATAGTTCTGTGAGGAGATACAAGCTTATTGATAAGCAATAATGAGAACTTGCCAGCTCCTTTTAGGGAAGCTGACCCAAAGGCAATCCTAACAGGAAGGTCATTATACAACATACCATGGAGCATGTAATACCTCCAGAGGTTCTCACAAAGTCAACACCAAGGAAGAAGTTCCAGGAACTAATGCTGAGATCAGGTAAGTCCATAATGATCATTAATTTTTACTTTCAATACTCTTATTATTATTAAAGTCAAAACTAAACCCACTGCCGTCGAGTCAATTTCGACTCATAGCCACCCTACAGGACAGAGTAGAACTGCCCCAAAGGGTTTCCAAGGCTGTAATCTTTATGGAAGCAGACTGCCACATCTTTCTCCAGTGGAACGGCTGGTGGCTTCGAACCACCGACCCTTCAGTTAGCAGCTTAACCACTGGATCACCAGGGCTCCTGTTCTTGTTATTAGTATTCGTTAATCATTCCTTCCTTAAACGGGAGGTTTACTGTATATCATAAGACATGGGTAGCAGATGTCTGCTCTGGTTTCAGGGTACTGGTTCACCAATTTATGGGCACCAAGCTTCTCTTTTCTCCTCCAATCACTATTTTTTGCCATCTCACTGCTTATTATGTCCTATCTGCCTGAGTGCAGCTAAGTCATACCTTTTAAGGTGACTACTATCAGCTCATGAAAGTCATACCCTTTCATATTAACTACTATCAGCTAAATGAATTTGGCTAAAATGAGACTGTTTGTGGGTTTCCATAATATTACCTGTCCTGTTTCCCAACTACCATTAAGTTGCTAAGAATCCCAAAACAGCAAGATAGTCATCTGAGCATCTGAAGTGCTTACCTCCACCAGGAAAGACACAAGGGCATTGGCAGCAACAATGGTAAGCATAATTATACGCCACTGATTTGGTACACACACTATCTGTAGGATGAAATTTTTCAAGTTAAAATTGTAGTATTATAATATGTACTTGATATTGTAGCATTATACCATAAAATCCAAATTTTTTGAATTTCTACTATGTACCAAGCACCTTCACATAGCACATCAGTCACTTAATCCTTACAATAATGCCACAGGGTATGTATTATATTCATTTTTCAGATGATAAAATTCAAAGTTTAAGTAACACAAAGTGAAAAAACATGTATTAAGTGACTGAGCTTAGAGCCAAATCCTATTTACTCAGAATCAAAAGCACATGTTCTGTCAGATCATGGATATCTAACATGTCTCAATTTTTAAAATCAAATTCTATCTTTAAACAATGCGGTAGATGTACAGTAAAACCTGCAAAAGCCAGAACTTACGTAAGGCAGAAACCTGTCAGAGAAGGAAAACAAATATTTTCCACTAAAACAAGTGATAGGAAAGTGTTAAGACTGCACCCTGTCAAAGGTGGAAAACTTGTGAGACCTGGAAAAACAAGGTGGTCCCGTCGAGTTCCAGCTCTCACAGGTTTCACTGTAAATCAAAAAATCTACATTATAATAAAAAGAAATTCATAAAAGAACTACATAGATCTATTTAAGAAATACAATCGATGTTTATTTTAAAATCTATGATTAACTTCTAAGACTTAAAAAATAAAAGAAAAAAAAATCCCATTCATGCATTCATCTGTTTAATCAGCAAATATTTATCAAGTACATATGATCCTATGCTAGGTGCGGAGCAGTGACATGATCTAAAATATTTTAGAAAAAAACACTAATGCCAATAAGAAGGATTACAGGGGAAAAGACGGCTATAGTGATCCAGGCAAGAGAGGATGGTAGCCTTAACTTAGGGTGGTGAAAAATGGGATTGGAGTAAAGACAGAAACAGAGATTCAGAACGAAAAAACAAAAAGAATTGCAATTGACTGGCTATGAGAAGAGAAGAAAACGACAAAAAAGATGCAAATGTACATACACACAGAGCGATATTACTGGTTAAGAGCTCAGCTGCTAACCAATAGGTTGGCAGTTCAAATCTACCAGGTGCTCCTTGGAAACCCTATGGGGAAGTTCTACTCTGTCCTATATGGTCACTATGAGTCGGAATCGACTTGATGGCAATGGATTTTTTTAGTTTTTGGATAAATGGTGATACCAAAAAACAGAGAAGCAGCAGAGTGGAGGGAAACCATGGTAAGCTTTGTTTTAGATAAGTTGAATTTGAGAGACCTGTTGGTAGACCACCCAAGTAACATTAGTAGTCAGTGGATCTGCAGGTTTAAAACTGAGTGGTGAGAGCTAGGCTGAGGGTATAAGGTTGGGAGGCTTCAACACACAGGTGACCACTGATGCAATGAGATCACCCATATAGAGTGTGTAGAGAGAGAAGAGAAGTAAGAAAAGAAATGACGGATGCTCTAACATTTAAAGAACAGGCAGAGCAAGTGGAACCATGATGGTGAATGAGGAGTCATAGAGGTAGCAAAAAAACAGAAAAGAGTAAAGTATCACAAAATTCCAAGGGAGAGTGTCTCGAAAATGATGGCCAGGTTAACTATGTCAAATACTGCTGAGGAGTCAAGTAAAATGCGGGAAAAAAAAAAATTAAGGAGACAAGCCCACTGGACTTCACAACAAGGAAATTGTTAATGACCTTCGCAAGGGCAATTTCAGTGGGGTGGCGGGGATGGAAGCCAGACTAGCTGATGTGTGC